GACATTTAATGCGGCATAGATAGAAGTACTCTAGTGTGACTTTTTGCAGACGACTGCCTAATTTATAAAGAAATACACAGTGAAGGTGACCAAAGAACGTTTAATGATATTCTTGATGCTGTTAGTAATTGGTGCCCAGAATCTAAATTGAAAAAAAATCAAACTAAAACAGTTGCTTTGCGTGTCACAAACAAAAGTTAGCGGGTCGTCTATTCCAAAACACTCTATGTTCTACCCGCCTGTCTACCGTCAATGAAATAAAATATTTAGGTGTAACAATATCCAATAAAGTTAACTGGAGGACCCATTTGGAAAACATTTGTGTGGTGGTGGAGAGAAAACTATGGTACTTGCGAAGAAAATTAAGACTTGCTACGACTCCCGTTAAGCTAGCAGCATACCTTACGTATATTCGGCCAACATTGGAATATGCCAGCATTGTGTGGGATCCTTCGGAAATCGGCCTCATTAATATGCTAGAAAGAGTACAAAGGCGAGCTGCCAGGTTTATTTTTTCAAAGTACTCTTCGACTGAGTCAGTAACAGAAATGCTACGCTCTATTCAACTGCCCACTTTAGCCGAACGGCGGCAATTGGCAAGAATGAAGTTCTTGTTTTTACTGTCAAAAAATGAACTAAACATAAACACAACAAAATACTTAACGCCACGCCGCGGAAGAAAGCTAAGAAGTGTAAACGATTACATATACGAAGTGCCAAAACAGCGTGGCAGTGTATATGCGAATTCATTTTTTTCCAAAAACAATTCATCAGTGGAATGCTTTGCCATTACCACTAGTTCATTGGGATTCACTGGAAAAGTTTGAGGAAAGGCTCAAAGATATTGTTCTGTAAGCATGGTCTACTATGTTAGTTTATTGCAATTGTTAGTTTATTGTCCCAGTCATCTATGAATTTAAGCAGGTTACAAACTCCACTTCTTGTAGGCCAGGCAGTAGATCACCAGACTAGACTAGACCAGACACCACATCAGCCATATGAAGAGATACTGTACACCATGCTTTGGCCCAATCCTGGCTCAGTCAACAATGGGAGAAGAATTTCCTACTCTCAACTCAGATGAGTCGCCGTCCGAGGACAATGTCCCAGCTCGTGATCCCGCTGCTCTTGTAGACGCACACACTTTACCTTCATGTGCAGATGAAGCCTCAGCCCAACGTCCAAGTCGACGACCCCAGCGTCATCGTACGGAACCTTTGCATCTTCAGGACTTTGGCCTATTGATACAAGATTAATTTTTTTTTCTTTTTCAAGTAGACTTGGACTTCTAAAAGGAGGTGGGATGCCAGATGAGTTGTTTTTCCAAGCCAACTTGGCTTCTAGGTGAGATTGGATGTAAGCTCCAGCTCCAGAGATAGCGGTTTCAAGAAGGTCAAGCAACCCTGGGATTCACCCTGTCGTTTCTGGCGAAGAGCAGAGAGCATCGACCGCGCTGCTTGTAACGAGTCTTCTTTCTAACGATTAAAAGCTTTTCCTTCTCGTCCACTCACACAGCAGAAACTGGTTGGTCGACGATGACGGGTGTCGGCTAAAAGAAATTGCCGGAGGTCGGTAGATGAGTCAAAAGAGAGTGCTTTGATGATAGCTTAACAGTGGTCCGACCCCCGGAGGTGAATGATCTTAGTTTGAACGGAGTTAATTTTGCAACATAGCCAATCTTCCCACAACAACATCGGTGAAAGTGGAGTATTGATTCCGGGATGTAGAGAGTCGAGGAGACGGAGAGCGTGATTGGTGGCGCTTAATATTCGAAGACGGTAGGCTTGCCAAGTACTCTGTAATAGCCCGGGGTCATTTCCCATCCTAGGGCCAGCGAGCGTCTAGCCGAAATTCAGGTAGGCCCACCTGTCGATACGAGCACTCCCGGTACAAGTGACCTGGCTCACTACAGGGTAGCAAAGTGGCCGATTGTCGGAAGCGCGCCACATGTTGGATTACCGCACATTAGGTCGCAGATTTTCAGTTTTGCGGACCCGAGAAGTGCTATGGCATCTGCAAGCTGGTCGGTCAGAAATTTTCATAGTGCGGTGGGTCCGAGAAGTATTGCGACGTCTGCAGGCTGGCCAGTCGGGGAAAATAGCTGGCTGCCGGTGCAGGGGTGCGTAGAGTTTCCGCATATGTTAGCAGAGTAAGTTCGGCTGGAGGCGCGACTAATGGTCGTACCAGCTGCCGTATGTCTTCGCGGACGACGTCTGTCAGAGTAGCCACTTGAGGCTGTGAAGGCACTGCGTGAAGCTTTTGTAGCTTATCGCGTACAATGCCATGGATTAGATCAGCAAGTTCTCTGACGCTCATGATGTCGGCTGTTGCCAAGGGTGCTGAGAGACATGAAAAGTTGTCCGACCACTTACTGCGTAAACCAAAGTCTTAGCATTTGCTTCATCGTTATCGCTTCATGGAGAAATTCTGCCATGGTAGCTAGTGGGTATCGCACAAGTCTAGCAAACAGCTGCTCTTTGACATCCCGCATCAGGAAGCGTACCTTCTTGTATTCCGTCATTGCGAAATCAGCTCGACAGAATAGATGAAACATTTCCGCAACGAACATGGCCAAGCTTTTGTTTGGCCTTTGATTGCGAGAATTGAGAAGACGATTTGCTTGTTCTTTCCGGCCGGCACTACCATACGTGTTCTGCAGCTTTTTGCAGAACATCCGCCAGCTTCGAAATCGAAATCTGCGCTGAATACTCCAGGTAGAAATAGACACATTGGAGTTTCCGAAGCTCGTCCCACTCGTTGGTGACGGCGATTCGATGATATAGGTCCACCTAGTCTTCACCATCTTCGTAGGGCTCTCCATGAAAGTGCTTTGGTGTTCAAGCGGCTAGTGGCAATGGAGCTGACAGAGTCGCGGTCTGTTCAGTCTGTCTTGCAGTTGTGACACTTGCAATGGTTACGGAGCGTTCCGAAAGAGGGCCGAATCGGGGTGGCAGGCCTACTTACCACCGACTCCACCGAAGGTCGGCTGTTTGTATCAAGGCGTCGACGTTGGGGTCCAGACCTTCCTCGTGGTCATAGCGCATAGGCTGTTACCCAGCACCTCCACCAGTGTCACGTTACACCATAACTGCTACCTATAAGAACACACAAGGGTGTGAAGTTTGATCGACGAAGGAAACACTTTATCGTCTTTTCTCATTTTCTCATTTTCGTCCTCTTATGAACAGCGACACAAACAAGCCTGCCAACATCTATAGAAAGAGTACTTGCAGAACTTGTACTAGTGGCAAGAATTCAACACGCCCAGATACATTTTTTTTTAAAGTCAACTAGAACATCGGCTACTCTTGTTTGTTTTACGATCCATTAAGGTGGCCACCCATCCAGTGATGCTATTTACGCACCTGTCATTTTTTGTTGAATAGCACAAATGAGAATGTGCTGCATCAATTCAGCAAGCGTCACGAATGCCAGTCTTGAATGGCAAACAAGCTAGTGGTTTAGATGTGACCATGTGTGACATTGCAACGCGCTTCTAAAGTATTCTCCGTACATATAAAGCAACGCGTTTCTAAAGCAACGTGCTTTAAAGTAGGCATCATACATATACATTTTGAGTTGTTACAACTCCTTATGCTGATGTGTACGCTTGATTGCACACCTCATGTAGCTGAAGCAGAAAGAGAGTATTTATATTGACGCCCTTAAGAGCGCACGAAAAATATTCATGCTGAACCCCACATTACATTCATTTATCACCAAAGTAATAATATATAGTCTTGTATTGAACGCCTGTATAATAGAAGCAAGTTGATAAGATTAGCCCACAAGGGCATTCAAATAGTGTCTGTTTTTCGAAATTCGTCCGTGTCCCACTTAAGCTTCTCATTATAAGATGTTTCTGTGGTTACCGCAAACGAGCTTGTTGCTGCACTTAGTACGTTCTCGTTGCCATTGAAACGTGTTCTTGAAGCTATACGATTTGGATTTCAAGTGCATATTCGAATTTTTGTTTCCTGTGCTAGACTCGATCAGAATCAAGGACATTTAGAATGTAAAATAAAGTGAATACTTAAAACCATTTGTATTACCACTAAGGCAATTGTATATTACTTCATTTTCGGAATTGTAATTTTTTGTATATTGTTGCGTCAGTGACCTTTCAGAGCTACATTTCCCCTCTGTCACAATAAATTTGCATGGTGTTAACTACTCCAACATATAAATTTCCTGAAATTCTATGACAAGTCTCTGGTATCAAAAAATTGTTTTCCCGCCGTGTAATAACGCCGATTTGATGTTTCGTTGCATTTACATTAGGACGAAATGCTAGTTTAGCTTGAGTAAGTCCGGCACATATGAAACCGAAAAATGAAAAGATGACACAGTCGTAAAGGAAGGTAGGCGCTAAACTTCCAACTGACAAAAGTTTAGCGCCTACCAATCTTCACGCCTGTGTCATATTTTTCTTTTTCCTTTTCATATGTGCGGTCCTAATATAAGTTAAGTTCAAGGATATCGAACACACCAAGGCCACAGCACTTCTTAAACGCTAGAAATCCGTGCACCTAGATTCAGTTACTCGCTAAATATAACCCCGGACGCATGAAAATTTTGGAGTTATCTCACCCCTACAGCGTCTTTCATAATCATATTGACAACGTTCGACCCTCGACTAATTGATTATGACGCTGTGCCACATTGTTGTGGCACTCCTTTCCGCCAAATAGTTCAATTCCATGTTAAGTTTCGTGGCTGCTTCAGACAAACTGTATTGCTATCAAATATTTGGAGGTAAAAGAGAATGCTGATGTAGTAAATAATTAACACATGAATTTTCGGCAATTTATAAGCGTACTTAGAAAAGAGGGTGCCGTGGTAGCGCACAGAATATTGTGACTTTGACGTGAAGTTAGGCTAGCTGCATGTACTTCTGTGCAGCTTTTTTAAAATGCAGTATTTGTTTTTTGATTGATTACGACAACGCTATGTTTAGTCACCCACAATGTAACACAAATGTGTGTGCTCTTGCCTTACAGAATCGTGATGCAAACCGCGAATGAATACTACATACGACCCTTTTATCATGCTGTGTGCTACTTCAGTGGCTGCATGGCGTGCCTTGTCATTGACGACATCAAGGAACGAAAATTTTCAAAAGTAAGTAACAAATCATGAAAGCGTACAAATGGCAAACCCTATCAACAGAAAGAAAAAAATGAGCTAGACGCGATCGTGTGTTCTTTTCATCTTGTGAAAAAGCAGCAGTGATGCAGTGGTATAGCAAAAAAATGTGAATGCGTGGAACCGTCTTCGCGTTGACCAAAACTTCCTACATAGAATGTCATTTTCGCTTTAATGTAGTGTTTTGAGTAATATTTGGCAATATATTGTGTTGGTGTATTTTTTTTTTCGACTACTCACATGTCGACAAGTTTGGTTTGACAATACCTTGAAACCATTTTGTAAGATCCGTGTTGTCGAGAATGATTCAGAGCAAATCTGCTATAAAGTCCTCTGACTTGGTAATGTTTACTACTAGGTTATTTTATTTATTTTATTTATTTATTGATACTGCAATCCATTAGGAGTTTTAGCAGTATCATGCATTATTACGCCAAAATCCTTATACATGATGAGTAGAAAACTTGGTGTCGCTGGTGTCAACACAAATTCTTTAAACAAAAATATCTTATAACTGTAGCTTCTTTATTATGCAGCACCCATTCACAAAATTGTTGCGCTAACATGTTCACATCGTGCGAGCTCGTAGTTATACCTTCATTACACGATTTGGACCTTGGTATTGTTACTGGATGTTTCTTTAATTTTAGGTAGTAAATTTACCTCCAAGATTTTCTTCCTAATTCTAAAATATGCGTGCTTAAGTAGTTTGAAATTTTCACTGAATCTAAGGAGGCACATTCATCCCTTCTACCACCTTTTTGCCACGGCCCGTACTAATAACTGGTGTTCGAGATTGCAGAAGAGACTCGTCATTTAGTTCAGGAAGGACGTGAAATAGCCTTTCTATGACTTACAAGTCATTGTGGAATAAATGGCAATGAACGGGCCGATCGAGCTGCCCTTTTGCTCATACTGAAAGGAATCAAATATCAATTCCACTCTCCATAACTCCCGCTGCATAGAAACTCCGCATGCTTACTCTCAAGCACTCCACGTCGCAATAGAACGAGTCACATTTCACCCATGCACAAATATATACCTTAGACCCAACTCTCAGTTTTCGGATTCCTCCAGAACTTCGTCGAGGAAACGCTACTATGCTGTGCAGATTATAGTTGGGTGTCGCATTTACCAATGCGTAAGCGTTCCACATAGAAATGGCTGACACTGCTCCATGTGGCCATTGCGGCAGTCGCGAAACAACTTGGCATATTCTGTGGGGAATGCCCACAGTACCGCTCGCAGAGACAGTCACTCTTCAATGCACTAGAGAAACTGCATAATTACACTCTTTGGCAAGGAAGAATCCTGCGCTGCCGACAGGACTCTATGTCACAGAAGGAGGCTAGGAAGGCGCTCCTGTGCTTCTTGCGTTCAACCTCCCTCTACAAACGACTGTGATCAGAACGCCATGCATGTGTGTGCATGTGTATTTTTTTGCAAATTTAGTTTATATATTTTTTTCTTTATCCTCTTCCCGACCCTTATTTCCGCATTCCTGTACAGAGTAGCAAACCACTTCTTCTTGGTTGATCTCTCTGTCTGTTTCTTTTATTTATCTCTCTCTCTCTACAATTCAAGGGACAGTCTCTGAAGTTTACAAAAACTCACTTGTCTTATGCTTTGTTTAGGGTTTCCAATGGGTGGGTTGGTGTGTGGCCATTGGGTGCTGCTTTTGCTGCGTCTTCATGAAGTACGCCTGGTACAGGAGTCCGAATCCCACTTCGGAGGCTGGAAAACTATTCACGGCATTCTTAGACCGTGTGCTGTGGTCCCTCTTTCTCTCGTGGTTTACGCTGGCGTGCTCCACGGGCCGAGGTGGTAAGCGCACGTTACACTCCTTCTTTTTTGCGCGTTTTCTTATGGGAAACTTGAAAATTCATGGCCCCGCCGCGGTGTTCTAGTGGCCTAGGTACTCGACTGCTGACCCGCAGGTCGCGGGATCGAATCCTGGCTGGGGTGGCGCATTTCCAATGGAGGCGAGATTGTTGTAGGCCCATGTGCTCAGATTTGGGTGCACGTTAAAGAACCTCAGGTGGTCAAAATTTCCAAAGCCCTTCACTGCGGCATCTCTGATTGATTAATTTGTGCAGTTTAACGTCCCAAAGCCACCATACGAATATGAGAGACGCCGTAATGGAGGGCTCCGGAAATTTTGACCACCCGGGGTTTTTTTAACGTGCACCCAAATCTGAGCACACGGGCCTACAACATTCCCCCCTCCATCGGAAATGCAGCCGCAAAAACCTTGGATACTATGGCATCTCTCATAATCGTATGGTGGTTTGGGGACGTTAAAGCCCACATACAATTAAGCAATTGAAAATTCTGGTTTACATTTTTAACGATTATTTTGTGACAGTTATATTGTTATTTATATGCTTATGTTGTCAATAAAAATTCCTCGCTAATATTACGTAATATTTGAAGGAGTACTGACCCTTCTTAGAGACGTCGCAAAACAGACATTTTTGGTTTACTTGGTATTCGATAATAACGGTATTCACACATCCGAGTGAGACAACTCGTATAAAAAGTTCTACGTAGAATTTAATGCTTTCGTTCCTGAGCACCTACAAGCGAGCCCTGATGCTATGAATATTATTCGTGTAAGTCAACACAGTTCTAGTGAGTTTGTAAACTTTGCTTCCTGCATAAATCACAGAAATCACTGTTGGCATTTCTGGACGAGAATTCACTAATTGTTGCTGACGTGTGCTATTAGCAGATGACAGATCTGTCGCTAGTACGTTACTATTTGGTGTTTACGCGTGCCCTCACACTGCGATCACACCCAACTGAGAAGCCACCCCCTAAAAATCAAAACCGAAAGTCTTTGTTCAAAGCAGCGGGATTCAAAATAGTTTTCTTGGCTGATGCTAGATCATTTCTTGGCAGAGTTTAGCCGAATAAGAGCTCGTTACTTACCATACCAGAATGAGCATACTTTAAGGCCTGGAACTAACGTGCCGTCCCGGCCGGGGCATCCCGTTGAACAAAGCGCGGGCCTTTTGCCACCCGTTTTCCGCTCGCACCACGTGGCGCGAATTCGGCGTGGTGGCTGCACAGAATGTCTCCGTCATGGGTCGTGGCTTGGTGACGGTTGTTCCTCGACGCACGCTGGTCAAGAAGAGGGCAAACTTGGGTGGTGAGAAGCTGTGGCTTTGTTATAGATCAGAAACGAGGCGGAGGGTTTCTTGCGCACACCTGACGTTTTACCTCGCCCTTTAGAGCTTCGCCTTTATAATTCAACCAGCTGTACTCTGCTAACACAGATCAAGTATTGAAGCTGGTGGTGTTTCCTTCAACAGGCTAACGCATTCTTATGTTCTATCCCTCCTCTTTTGAAAAACTCTTTGTCAAACTTTGAGGAGTTAGTATAGCTTGAATACATCTGGACCACACCAATCTTGAGCGCACAGGTATACCAAGATGCCGTCACTTGAGATGCTCTGACAAGTTGTCCCCGTGACTGTTCTTCATTAGGCACTATATGTTAAGCTTTAAGGTGGTATAGCTACCACCTTTTGTAATCCAAAGAATCAAGTGACATCAATGTGACTATGGTAACGCATATATCATTTGCCGGGGTAGCTGCAGCCTTCATCCGTTTCAGTGGAAGTTGAATGTATTACCCTATTTTTGTGGCACATAGAAATTGATGAATATGACAGTTTTCTGATAGGCCGCAGAGATTTCGGTGGCACCTACCAGTTTGTTGGGCTAGCTGTTACTTTAACTTTGTAGTGTAGTGGTGGGTAGCAAGATTTATGCTACGTCGGTGGCACATAGTGGTTTATGATGCCCACAAGGATTACCACTGATCCCGGACATAAAAAGATGAACAGTGGTAAGCTTGGCTGTAAAAATATATTCGAATTATATCCATTCACTACAATACCCAGTTTAGTGTTTTTGACACCAGTGTTTTTATTCAGAGTAACAATCTGAAAATATTCCAAATTCATGTCAGTGTTCTATCAACTACCTACAACACTTCCGATCCTGAGAGACTAATGTTGTACTTCCCAAAACATCCTGTGCCGAGCGTAAGTGTGCAAAAAGTGTTGATTAAGGGACTTTCGCACCCATCGAGTGTAGGTTGAATAAATTAGTTGGCTTGAAACATTGATGCTGAGAGAAAGTTCTCGCCGAAAACGACAACAAACATATCATACTTTGTTACAGTAATGAAAATTGTTCTTGATAGAAGTTGTGAAACATTTAAAAACACCCGTGATGCTCCTCATTTTGAAAGATACATAGTGTGACGGCATCTCTCAGTGTGGTTTTCCATAATTTAGCTACATTAAGGACTATGATTAACCTGTTGTTTTGCTACAAGTGACACTTAATACTTCGTTACAAATATTCTTATTACACGTCATACTTGAACGACAGATGCAATTACACTACCTCCCCTTCCCCATGCTCTTTTTACCCTTCCGTTATCTTCCCTAAAGGTAAGCCATGTTTTTTTTCTGATATCTGAATAATATAATTAGGAGTTGTTGCTGCTCTTCTATTCTGCAGGTTTCCTAAGCAAGTTCCTATCCTCCAACACTTTCGTGCCGCTGAGCAAGTTGTCATTCGGTGTCTACCTCATTCACTTCCCATTTATCCAGCTCATGTTGCACGCTTCTAGGGAACGCATGTTCTGGTCACACTTCAATCAGGTAAATACCACTTTTTTGGGATGTACTTTGAAAGTAACGAAACACCACGAAGCTGAAGTGCGGAATATGACACGTAATTCTTAAGAACACAATATATGGCACAAATAGCTTTCTCATTTCCTTAGCCATGAACTACACGAAGAAACGTAATATCTTGCGCAGAAGCTAGACAACTGGTTCTCTTTCAGATGTGATTCCAGTGTGAACCATTCCGGTTCATGCAGCAGCTCAACTAATCATATGATTGCTAGACTGCGCATGTGGCCCCTACATTTGTTACCTTAGTCTTTTTTAATGCTGTTGAACAGCGTCTGAAAATAGGAATCGACATAGAACGACAGCGTCAATTAGAGCGTCTCTGTTTGGCTCGTTTTGTCTTACAGAATGTCTGGTCCGGCCCAGGCTGTGTAAACTATGCTTTGCCGATTGTGTAGCGGCTTTCGCCTTCAAATTTTAAGGATTAGGTAACTTGCTGCCAATATTCCTTTAATATATATATATATATATATATATATATATAGTGTACAACTTTAGTAAACCACGTAAAAGGTCTTTTCACTCTCATAAGAAACGCTGCTCAATTTTTTGGCAGCAATGTCTGTTGAGGAAACGTACCGCAGTGCCTTTGAGCGTCAAATGAGCTGTTGCTAACCATATATTCATTTCGGATTATTCAACAGAATGGCACGTAATTCTATAAAATTTCACTTGATGAATTTTATATTCTGCAATGATCACATAGTTTGAAGATTTAAACACTACTGAATTCTAAACCCGGATGTTGAAGTCAAGGTTGTTCAATATTTGTGGCCGGTAAATTCGATTTGATTCTAGTGCATGCAAAATATTTCACTGAACTTGAAGTCAACACACGAACTCACCGAACTTCTACAAAAAGAATAATGAAGTTGACCGTTTTTCAATAGGCAGGCTACATAGAAAATTGTTGGAAGTTATTTTAAATATGATAATGCGCAACCACTTGATATTCTTTCGTTGCATCGACAGCTGTGAATAATTTGCATGTTTCATTGAGTGTATTGTGAACTTCTTTTCTCAGGCACCGTTTCTTCTCACATTTTGTACAATAAGGTGCTTTCTGCTGCCATAAACTCAAAGGCATATTTATCATTTCACTTCCAGATCACACTGTTTTTTGCGCTGCTCGTTTGGAGCTTCCTTCTGGCGTACCTGGCGTACCTGGTATGCGAAGGTCCCACTGCAGCTCTGGACAAGTTCGCTTTTCAGAAGCTTACAAGAAGACGCAGTCCTTCTAAAAACCAAACGCAAGAGCAGCGGCCGGACGGTGTCGACGACATGCCGGAGAAAAAAATGGAAAATGGCCGGGTCATCTCTCTGCTGAGAAACGGCAAAGTGAATGGCTACAGTGTACCCGATTCACCGAATGGTGATGTGCGTTGTCTGTCGTGACGATCACAGTGGATACTGCAAAGGGTGCGCTTACTTGCCGTCGCAGATGTGTGGGTCGTCCCCGCTCGTCCCTAGCGGATCAAATGCTGTCTCAAACATAAGCCACCAACGTTCAGAAGTCAAGGTTTGACTTGCCATAATACTGCCTGTGTCCAGGGGCCGAATTCACAAAGCTTTCTTTTGGCTACGCATTTTCTTAGCCAAAAAATTCTCTTATCTGGAGGGATTACTATAGCGCGGGTACGAATTTAACTTATTCGGCACTTAAGAGGGCGAGGAGTACACACGATAGCCGATGAAACGACAAGGAAAGAAAGAAGTGTGTGCCGATAATATCAAGGTAGCACGCAAAGCGTCTAGCATCGAGAGTATACGATGATAGCCAATGATTTGCTGCATCTAAGTTTAAGTTCCCCGAGCGTCTGC